TAAAAACGTGACAGAACATGAATATCGTGACAGTTATGAAGGTTTTTCTGCATGTAAACGCTCTGCAGAGTCTCAAACCCTCAAAGTGCACCCTGTAGCGAGTAAAACTCTAACACAGGAAAGACCTGTCTGTGCTGCCCCAGAACGCCTTGTTGGACATTTCTCATGTTCTTCCTGGGTACAGTGACGTGCCCATACCCAAATGGACCCATTGGTCCAAATGGACTAATCCGTGGAGCCGTTACGTTACGCCCGCGGAGCCGTTACGTCACACACACAAACTCAATCTTTTCTCAGCTGCAGCTGTCTCTGTCTCACTGAGACGGCGGGACGCGGCAAGGCTGCGGGTGTGTGTGTGTGTTCGGGCTGGGTTTCGCTGGGTTTCGCTGGGTTTCGCTGTCTCGCAGACGGCCACCGGGCTCATAGGGGGGGGGGGGGGCAGGAGCTCCAACAAGCCGTGTAGGACAGAGAGTGAATACACAGACTATACAGAGACGCTGTGAGAAATCAATGTGAGTTTGGAACATTGAACAATGTACATCTATTCTAGTAGACCTCAGCAATGGAAATATGATCAGTAGAAATGGCCATGTCATGTGACCTTTAATACTCTATGTTTTTTTCTTAATTCTGACTTTCTGAACATTTCAAAATTCTGACTTTTTTCTCAAAATGTGGAATTTGTATGAAATGATTCCTCGATCAGAGTTCAGTCTTTATTGAGCCTAAAGTTAGTGAAGACCTGAAAAGGTGAACATGTCCAGCAGCAAGACCTGTTCTTCTTCTGTGGTGTTCCCTCTCCTGTAGTGTAGGTGTGAGTCAATGGTCTGCAAAGGATCAAATCTGACTTTTGTCTAAAAAATCTCACAATTCTGACTTTTTCTCAACATTTTTATTTCTGAAATCTCAGAATTTTGCCGCATTTTCTTTGAATGTCAAAATTCTGATTTTTTTTCTCAAAATCTCATAATTTTGACCTTTTTCAAAAAGTCTAAACACTTTTTCTGAAATGTCCTAAAACGATTCTGAGTTAGCAAGAAGTCATCTCTAGGTCAGAGTTCAGATTGTCTTGTTTATAAAAGCGTATTTTAATAAACTTGATATTTAATGGCAGTGTTTGGGAAGGTGTCTTTGTGTCCAATAGGAACGCAGCGTCAGATCAATCCTCTCTGTGTTCAAACATCACACATCACATGTTACTTGATAGACGCTTTTATCCAAAGCGACTCACATACTCAATACTGTGGACAATCCCCACAGGAGAAAAGTGTCTCAGGGGCACAACGACATGCTGACTGCAGTGGGGTTTGAACCTGTGCTCTGATCCCCAGCACACTACCCACTGAGCCACAGCCCCCCCAGCCCCTTAAACCTGAACTATCAGTGATGTCATCTTTATTTATTTCATTGAATATCTACCACAGATTCATTTCCATTTCATTTAATCGTTTATTTAGCAGGAACAATGCACAGCAATGAACACTTAAAACATTCAAATGTGTCAAGCGTAACAGTGCCAGATTTAGTTTGAGCTCATTTCCATCCGCAGACGCAGTCCCTCACATAAAACATTTAAGACAATTACATGTTACAAACATAGCAAAAACAAAATACATGATATGCAAAAAGTGCAAAAGAGCAAGAGCAGCATACACAAGTATCCTGCTCTTGCTGACATCACATCCTGTTTACGTATTATGTATTCTGTCATCTAGTTTTTTAAATCACATTTAAATGTATGAATGCTTCTATACTGAAAGGGTGTTTAACTGTAACGCTTGTTAAAATAAACCTCTACAGTAAAACACTTCTGTCTGTATGTAACGTCCTGAATCAGGTGGTGACGCAGAACACTATACATTCACTTACATGTCAGTTATCTTTCATAACATGTTGATTTGTCTTAAAGTTTCCTCATAATCTACATTTTACTTTAAAAACGTTATCTTAACTTTATAATGTCACTCAAACGTATGAGAATAAGATTTAAGATGAAAGTGTATTTGAAATGAAAACAAAGCATATTCACTGGTTTATGAAGAATCTGTTGTTTTCATTAAACAGTTATTGTTCTTATGTTCCTGTTGTTGTACAATATGGCGCCAATGAGGACAAAGAGGGGGTTGATGTAAAGTTTAAATGTTTCATTTTCGACTTCTCATTGGTCGAGAACAAGCTCCGCCTCTACAACCCCAGGCAATGGGAGAGAAGAGTCCTGCATAATGAGCTGTGGGGGCACGAGCTCGGTGAGCTGGCCATCATCTGACCAATAGCAGGCCAGCATCTGTGAATATATGAATATTAATAAGGCGTGGGGGCGTGGCCTCTCGGTGGAGGAAGGCTCGAGTGAACATGGAGGGTTAGTGCTGTCTGGATCTGCGAAGGAGACGCGCTGTTTTATTTTGCTTTGTTCCAACATGGAGATGAAGAAGAGGGTCCTCCTGGAGCTCAGGAACAGGAAACCTAAGGACGTGAGTAACATATCAACCCGGCTATGTGTTTGTGAACAGGAGGGGGAGGGAAGCGTTCAGCGGGAGAGGTATCCGACATTTTGGGAGGAAGCGTTCAGCGGGAGAACAGCGAGAGATAGCCGACATTTTGACCCAGAAAACGGCTTCTTCTTCCTCCTCTCCAACATGGAGGGCTCTCTCTCGGTGCCTCATTAAGGGGGTTCCGGGGGGAGATAACCCGATTCCTCCCGGGATCACAGCCGATTTCCCACCGGGGGGAGGACCGGGAGCAGCGGGGCGGAGGAGAGGCTTCGTCCCGGAGGAAGAGCTCCGTCCGTCGAGGCAAATATTCATGTGTAATGTCCATGGAAGTATAGTAAGAAGTACCCGTATGTAGCTCATAGAGCATGCGCAGTGAGTGTCTCTTAAGCTCCGCCCCGAGCTCCCGCTCTCGGCTCAGTAGAATGAATGGAGAGAGAAAATAACTCATGATTCGGCTTTTAGTGCATTGTACAACTGGAAGGACCGAATGATTCTAATAAGGGCTATAACATAGTAGTTCATACTGGGTAGTTTATTTAGTTTAAAAACAATCATCCACTGATTTACAGACGTCTCTTTCTCCATGTTAGGCAATGGGAAAAAGTCTTTCGGGGCCCAGTGACGTCACGGACTGATACGGAAGTTGTAGTACCGCCGTTTGGATCTGAGTACTTCTAGTTTTACTCAAGTACAAGATCTGAGTACTTCTAATTTACTCAAGTACAAGATCTGAGTACTTCTACTTTTACTCAAGTACAAGATCTGAGTACTTCTACTTTTACTCAAGTACAAGATCTGAGTACTTCTACTTTTAGTAAATGTTTTCTTGTTGTAGACAATAATAATACATTGGATTTTTATAGCGGTTTTCCTAATGCTCACATGACTCCCTGTTGTTGTGCTCACATAACTCCCTGTTGTTGTGCTCACATGAATTCCTGTTGTTGTTAACACATGACTCCCTGTTATTGTTGTTGTTGTTATTGACCCATGACTCCCTGTTGTTGTTGTTGTTGTGCAGGTGGCGGAGCTGGTGGTGGATAACTGCCGCTCCAGTGACGGGGAGGTGGAGGGTCTGACGGAGGAGTACTCGGAGCTGGAGATCCTCAGCATGGTGAACGTGGGGCTCAGCTCGCTGTCCAAGCTGCCTGCTCTGCCCAAACTCAGCAAGGTAAGCATCAACGTTACTGAAGGTCCTCCTCCAATATGAGAGTACAGTGTGTCCCACAGAATTTGTTTATATTTGTGGGGGCGCACCGCACCCCCCCCCCCCGGCAAGAAAAACCAAAGGCCCCTTAACCTATTCGGTCGGCCCACGCATCCACCCCCCCCCCCCCTCAAATAGGAAAATACATACGAGTTCATGGCAACTGTAGACAACGTTCTTGTTGCTCTGTGTTGCGTTGTTAATGAGTGAGACGCACCGGAGTTGAGGATCTGTGGGGTTTATTCTCCCAAAAATGTAGTTTACAATTTAGGCATTTAGCAGACGCCTTATTCCAAAGCGACTTACAATGACCAATTACAGGGACATTTTCCCTGGGCTAAGTGCCTTAGGGCACACTAGTAGTGGTGTTCCAGGCAGGATTTGAACACGCAACCTTCCGATCATCAGCCCACCTCACTATCCATTAGACCACCACGGACGATATTTAATTGTGGCGGCCCGCCACAAATAAATCAATGTAATGGGAAACACTGGAGTAGCATGCTAACAGAGGTATCAACTGTAGCTGTGAACATGACAGGATGTGTGATTACCTAGAAGAGCATCAGGACTGTTTGAGGCAGATGATAGCTACGTGATTAACATGATGATTCAGCCTCTATGGAGAGAGACATCAAGCATGCTCATTTCTGACGTGGAGCTAATCTGAAGTAAACATTGAATACTGCTTTCTACTCCTCCATCTTGTGACTGTGTAACTCCCTCTCTTGATATCAGCATGTGAAGGACACTGTTCAGGAACTAGTTGATGCTCTGTATGTGATGACCTGTGTGTGTGTGTGTTTCAGCTGGAAGTGAGTGATAACCTGATCTCTGGAGATCTGGACTCGCTGGTCGAGAAATGTCCCAACCTGACGTACCTGAACCTGAGCGGGAACAAGATCAAGGAGCTGAGCAGCATCAAGACGCTGGTGAGGAAACTCATAAAGTCCACCTTAAGAAGGGCTCAGTCCACCTTAAGGAGAGTTCAGTCCACCTTAAGGAGAGTTCAGTCCACCTTAAGGAGAGTTCAGTCCACCTTAAGGAGAGTTCAGTCCACCTTAAGATGGGTTCAGTCCACCTTAAGGAGAGTTCAGTCCACCTTAAGGAGAGTTCAGTCCACCTTAAGAAGGGCTCAGTCCACCTTAAGGAGAGTTCAGTCCACCTTAAGGAGAGTTCAGTCCACCTTAAGAAGGGTTCAGTCCACCTTAAGGAGAGTTCAGTCCACCTTAAGGAGAGTTCAGTCCACCTTAAGGAGAGTTCAGTCCACCTTAAGAAGGGTTCAGTCCACCTTAAGGAGGGTTCAGTCCACCTTAGGAAGGGTTCAGTCCACCGTAAGAAGGCTTCAGTCCACCTTAAGGAGAGTTCAGTCCATCTTAAGGAGGGTTCAGTCCACCTTAAGGAGGGTTCAGTCCACCTTAAGAAGGGTTCAGTCCACCGTAAGAAGGCTTCAGTCCACCTTAAGGAGAGTTCAGTCCATCTTAAGGAGAGTTCAGTCCATCTTAAGAAGGGTTCAGTCCACCTTAAGGAGAGTTCAGTCCACCTTAAGGAGAGTTCAGTCCATCTTAAGGAGAGCTCAGTCCACCTTAAGGAGAGTTCAGTCCACCTTAAGGAGAGTTCAGTCCACCTTAAGGAGAGTTCAGTCCATCTTAAGGGAGAGTTCAGTCCACCTTAAGGAGAGTTCAGTCCACCTTAAGGAGAGTTCAGTCCACCTTAAGGAGAGATCAGTCCACCTTAAGAAGGGTTCAGTCCACCTGAAGAAGGGTTCAGTCCACCTGAAGAAGGGTTCAGTCCACCTTAAGGAGAGTTCAGTCCACCTTAAGGAGAGTTAGGTTCAGTCCACCTTAAGGAGAGTTCAGTCCATCTTAAGAAGGGTTCAGTCCACCTGAAGAAGAGTTCAGTCCACCTTAAGGAGAGTTCAGTCCACCTTAAGAAGAGTTCAGTCCACCTTAAGGAGAGTTCAGTCCACCTGAAGAAGAGTTCAGTCCACCTTAAGGAGGGTTCAGTCCACCTTAAGGAGAGTTCAGTCCACCTTAAGGAGAGTTCAGTCCACCTTAAGGAGAGTTCAGTCCACCTTAAGGAGAGTTCAGTCCACCTTAAGGAGAGTTCAGTCCACCTTAAGAAGGGTTCAGTCCACCTTAAGGAGAGTTCAGTCCACCTGAAGAAGGGTTCAGTCCACCTTAAGGAGAG